TGGTAACATAGTGTCAAAAGTGTCTATAGTTGCAGTGTACCATTACTGCACTATATTGTTGGTAAATATTGGTCGGATGGTATTATCATTGGGCTGTTGATATAGATGTTACGCTGGAATTTGAACCGCTTTACAATTTTCATGAAATATTTTATAATGATATACCATGCAGTATGTCTGGGATTGTTGGATTAATAAAACTAACGCCCAAATATACAAAACTGAAATAAAAGTTGTGCATGTGAACTACGCCAATTTCCATACTAAATCAATATATTTAAATTCGATTCATCATCTATTATTGTGCCGTCGGTAGTTCATAATTATTGTAATAGATCCATTCTCGTGAATGGCAAAACTATAACAGAAACAAGTTCTCAAGTTTATACAATATGTTATACAGTAAATAAATTGCGCCATGTACAAGTACAACTATCCTTGCATCTTACGTTATTGCTATTGACCGCATTATAGTAACTACTCGTACACAAATTTAATACATCCTACTATCATGGTACACCGCAATATTTTGAGCGCATTAATATAAAAACATAATATACATTTTTTTGAGATGGTTAGTGATTATTTGTTGTCAAAATTGTCCTTCCATTCATCCATAAAGTAATATGGCGGTAAATGAAACAAATACGAACCCAATACTGTTAAATACCCAGATGCTTCAATGCTTAATCCAGGAAGAAGGCCACTAATTTTACAAATATACTCGTCGTCGTCATTTATCACAATGTCGTAAATTGTTAAGTCGTATTGTCCGATAAAGTGATTCCCGGATACATCATACTTATCATCATCCGATACTCCACTGTCTTCGATATATATAATACTACCTATACTGCCTTTCTCCCATGACAATTTGCCTGTTTTGTCTTCAACTGTACACAAAAACACGGCATATTCATCACCGTGTGCAGCTGTTGTGTTAGATGGTTTCACACTGAAGTACTGTTGAGCTGCAACACCTAATATGACATAACACATAGACACAGAAGATGCGTGGCTAATGATATATGTACATGGTAACTTCAATATAGATATTGTATATATACAATCTAACTAACACGAACAAATTAATCCAATAATAACGTACAACATCCTAGCAGCATGCTGCCCAAGACAACCATTACGACGTCTAGTATTCGATGATTCGTCATTGTTATACACACCTGTATTAAATAGTCAAACAAAACATAAGTCATTTAAAAAGAGAATGATTTTCGTCTTTAAAGAGAAATACAACATTGATTATTTCTTCATATGTAAAATCAATAGTAGCAACATATTAGCAACAATACATGCTGTTATACAATGTGGGATACCTGGGAACAATTAAGAAATGATTCATGTATTCTTAAATGAAGTAGACACTCTAAACTATTTCGATCAGTGTTAATGTTGGCGGATTTTCCAGTGTTCTGATGTGTTGACGCTATCACAGCTGTATTTGCCAATTTCTCTCCTCGATGTCGATTGTACGCCACTGCTGGTGGGATATGGAACAATTTGTTAAGGTTATAATCTTGTACTATTGGATCAGTTTCACGATTCAGCCTTCATTTATTTACGTATAGATTGTACATTGTGAAAATTCGTTTTCATACACTTGGTAGGCTCCGTGAGATGTATCCCTGTGTTACTGTGTTTAGTTAGTGATGAGAGCTTCTCATTTTCCGGACAACTATGGTGTGTTAGGTTGTTCAGATTTGAAGGACTCTATTTCAAGATCTTATCTAGACATACATTCATACGTTTGAATGATTTTCAATTTTGATTACTTCCTGTATATACGAATTGTTATTGCGAACGTTAACGAAAAAAAACTGTTCCTATACGTGCTCGTCTCTAACTGGTTGTTATAATAATCACTGGAATCCGAATTTTTGTTCAATGTATTGCCTCAAAAGATGTTTTGCTCCGTCATTTTAATGGATGTTCGATTGCATTTATAATCCCGGTTGTTCATTGCATACATTTTGATTTCTGTTCTCTTCGACAAAATCATGGGTGTAACAGTGTATTCGTTGGGGGAAGTACGTTTCAAAGTTTGTTGGCTTTTATTTAAGTATTACCTACTTGTGTGTGACCCGTTACTTTTGACTGACACAAGAAACCGTGCTATGTATAAAACTTTGTTTTTGTTTTGTTGTGTGTTAATCACGATTTTGCCCTCTATGTCAGACCATGGTAGTTTTGAAAACATAATACATTCTTGGCTGAGTTGGCAACTTCTTTTACCTGCCAGCTTTTGAAACTAAGTAAATATTTACATGAATATCGAAAATCGACAGCACTGTTTCTTAAAATAAAAGTACTATTTTCAGGTGATGATAATATTCCGGATGAAGACATAGTCGTCATCACTCACGTTAAACAAACATTAAGTTGTTAGTCTGCAATCAATCAGCAAAAACATGACTCCAACACCTTCCATGTTTCAAAAGTAAGAAACCTGCGAACGTGTGGGATGTTTTTTTCTATCAGCATAGTTAGGGAAGAGCATCCAAAATGGTCTATACAGGGACGATGATTTCGCCGCCTAGACGCCACACCGAAAGAGATAGAACGGAACAAAACAAGTATTTGTTCCGTAGTTTAAAACACGGTCTGAAAATCGCAATCGAAGCAAATAAGAAAATCGGCAACTTCCTGATGTCACGTTAAACTTCATTGAGGGTTAACACAGCTCCTTTATGCAGCCTAACGACAACTTTGTATACATACAAAAGGAGATTAAAACCCAACTACCACCACAAAGAATGTCCCGGCCGGGATTACCAAGCGTTCAACTGCGATATCATCAGATGAAAACATATTTGACATTGCGGCACCACCTAATCAAAGAGCACTGCGCGAAAGCGTCTTCCAACACCAATTAAAGTTTGAACCCCCCCCCAAAAAAAAAATATACCGGCCACGTAGTAATGTCTTATTGTTTAAACCATCATACATCTTCAACGCCCGTAACAGCACCGCCAAGCAACTCCTTGATTTAATCGAGAAGTGTTTCTTTCAACAGAAATACCATCAAAGTCAGCTATAGCTGTAGGAACAATATAAAATATGCTATAAACAGTAGCAACTGATAGAGGAGTTATGGTAAGTATTTGCGTCCGTTTTATGAGTACACATAAATATAATCACTTCCAAATGTATGTGTATTTATGAAATATCACTCACACAATCCCTGGCAGTGAGTATTATTGTGAATATTTGTATTTTTCTTGTAATTATAAAAACTATGGGTGTTTTTGTGTATAATGATCATTGTGTTCAATGTTTTGTAGTTGTTAATAGTACAGAAGATACATCGAGCTGATATGATATAAATTGATGTTAATGCATCACTCATTATAAGGAAATACATACTTTAGTTTCTATGATAAGATTCTCGTCTAGTGTTTTTGTTGTGTCGCCTCTCACAGATTATATGTGTCATATCAACAGTTTTGGCAAACGATAGGTGATTATGTATGTTGATCTATTAACATAAATCGGTAGAAATTGTTACAGGTCATATGTATAAGCATTCTAAAGGAACAAATATTATCCAGTCAATTACAGCAAAAACAAATGAAACATGTTTATTTGATTTGAAGTTATTTGACTCCTAGTCGGGATTGTTTCAGTAGTATATTTTATTGTCGTTTGAAAAGCACGGCCACCTATCGTGTCACATATTACCATGTGGTAATCTATTGACTAATATCAGTTGCAAATATAATCATCACTTATAAAACCGAATCCATGTTTGCTGTCAACCGATTTAAAGTCAGCTAACTATGGTCATGACCAATACAATTCATCGTCTCCTAATTTTGTCGTTGGACCGTATTTCGTTCAATAATTATTTCATCAATATATAACGAGGAAAGAGCATTGTTCTTGTCACGAGTTAAAGTCATAGAGCTGCAGTGCACTACCAGTAAGTAGAAGTATCAATAAATAATATTGTACATGATTTTGTTACGTTATAAAAACCTTAAGTTAAAACTGACCTTAAATTATAGATGAATAAAGCAGCTTGGCGTCGTATCTCTGAACCACCGTTTAACAGGTCAAATTACTATGGCCACTGCGTGGTATAAATATATGGAACAGTGCACACACATTGACAAACAAACTAAAGTTTGATAGGAGGGCGCTACCCTGTTTTAGTGGCAAATAAACGTATGACAGTTTTTTATTATTTTGTTTCAAATGTTACATTGCGAGTAGCGTCACTAATTTGATGCGCTACTTTTTAAGCATTAATTCCCATCTGATCAAGGGCGGTAGGCAAAAGTTACTGAGTTTCCTGAGTTAATGCAATATTATAAATAATACATGATATTTTCCTTCTTGGATAAAATAAGTTATTAGTGACATTCTAGAAATGATAAAACAGTATTACGAGCGTTACCGTGGTGACATGTTATGACTCGAACTCGTACGTGTATCGGTTTTGCGTTTGGTTCAGGCTCTGAGTTTTAGAAAACGGACGTCTAGTGCATACAAGACATGGCCGCGCGCTTTTTGAAAACGTTCGAATGTACGACGCTTCCAATCCCGCTTTTCATAATAATAGAAGAGGTATGACACGACTCAAGCTGACCAATAGTGTTCGCCATATATAACACGTGATCTGCATTTTTTCTTCCAATGCTCATACCATTATTTACATGTCCCATGCTCTTATTGCATTAGTATGCATGTCTACCTTTTATAAAAGAATAACACATCATGTTCAATCATTAAAAAACATAATTCACTTATCTGGACTTAATATAGTATGTTCGCTGTAAATGCTCATTTATAGCGGAACACAGACGCGCACTCATTCCTGAAGTGGAAGCTCGCGGAATTCTCGATGGCGGCGCTGTTAAATACGTTTTACTACTCTCATGTACGCCGCTATTGATAACTTACGACTTGATCAATTTATCTAATACGTGTCAAATCGGTAAGGAAATTAAATATAGATTTAATGTCGCAGTATCTAGTTTGCTTGTATCTTTAATACGAATATTACTTTTTAAATCTTTCAAAGAAGAATGTATTACTAACCCGACACTTTTGCCTAACGCCCTTGATCTGATACAAACTTGCAAATTATTTATGTTTTAAGTTATTAGGGAATGTTGATTATGGACGTCATGAAATAAAAAAAATATATAATTCAGCTATTACAGACACCACAATAATATAGCATGTTAGTTCGCCCCATTGACAAGTGCAATTACTAAGGGTCGCTACGATGGATTGCCGGTCGCACAATTTTTATTTCAATCATTCCCTTCACAACCATACCTTATTATGCACTAGAATGAACACATTCTATGATATCTTATTACCTGTAAAAGCTATTTCATACATAAGAGATAAAATGTGCTGCAAAATATCATACATTTAGCTAGCTTATGAATGTAAAGTTGTAAGGAATCTTATTTACAGGGCAAATTGATTTCATGTTTTTACGTCAACTACTCCAAATATTTTGTTTTCTTAAATGATACTACACGTTTGAAACTTTTTTTATAATATTGCAGCATTTTAGGATTGGCCGTTTTTGGTGCAATACCATTTCCCTCACAAACCAATAACAAACAATAATTCGAGCTGAGGTAGCTTCAATTTAAGAACAAAAATGTATGTCTTGTGCAAAGTTGATTATTTTGCAAAAATGTAGGCAAACTTTGTATATGCATATTTTTATTGAACATGTTAAATCAAAATATGTTTATTTATTTATAGAGGTTGTGTACTTGACTGTTGTATGGTATGTTTTAAAAACACACATTTATCATGAAAAACTGGGTCAAAGATGCTAATAATACACATGTCCTTTGTGAATTGAACATGAAACTTAAATGTGGCATTGTGTGAGATTGCGCTTGTCAATTTTATGTAACTATGTCTATTATCCACACACATTTTCTATGGCATTCATTGAATATTGTCTAACTAGTAATAGCAGTGATCTGTGCTTTCCGATATTTTCAATTGTTTCCCTTGAAGATATTTTTGCTCATCAATAGAAAAACACAAAATATAATGTATGTTAGTTTTTACAAAAATAAATAACAACAAATATTTCGCAGTTTTATATTTCAGTTATTACTAAGTTTACAATGTTAAGAAAACACGCTACCAGTTGTTGTCAATAAATGTGTATCAA